GAGTTGCGTCTTAGGTTTCAAAAGAATCAAACTATTGATAAGACGACTCAAATGCTAATTGAAAAAGAAAAAGACCATTGGAAGAAAGTAATGCAAAGAATTATTTCAATTGTCAAATTTCTTGCCAAACATAATCTAGCCTTTCGTGGTTCAAATGGGAAACTATACCAAAAAAGTAATGGTAATTTTTTGGGCTTGATTGAAATGTTGGCCGAGTTTGACCCAATCATTCAAGAACATGTCAACCGTATTACTAATAATGATATTCACTTTCATTATTTAGGTCATACAATTCAAAACGAGTTAATACTTTTGCTTGGTTCTGCAATAAAAAATGAAATCATTAGAAAGATAAAGCAAGCAAAATATTTCTTGGTAATTCTTGATTGTACTCCCGATGTTAGCCATCAAGAGCAAATGTCATTGATATTAAGATATGTGAATGTCTCTAATTGTAATGTTTGCATTGAGGAATCTTTCTTAGGATTTTTGAAAGTAAATGATACAACTGGCCAAGGGCTTTTTGATGTTTTACAAAATGAATTGAAAAATCTTGATCTTGATATAATGGATGTGCAAGGACAAGGCTATGATAATGGATCTAATATGAAAGGAAAGCATCAAGGAGTTCAAAAGAAATTTTTGGATTTAAATTCTAATGCTTTTTATACTCCTTGTGGTTGTCATAGTTTAAACTTGACATTATGTGATATGGCTAACATATGTAGTAAAGCTAGAGACTTTTTTGGAGTCATCCAACGTATATATACAATTTTTACAGCTTCTACTAAGAGATGGCAAATCTTGAAAGACAATGTAAAAGGACTAACTGTTAAGTCTGTGTCATCTACTCGTTGGGAAAGTCGTGTTGAAAGCGTTAAGGCTATTAGATTTCAAATGTCAGATATACGAGAAGCTTTACTTCAAGTAGTCGATAGCAATGATAAGGATTACAATATAAAGAGTGAATCTAAATCCTTAGCAAATAATGAGCTTGGTGATTTTGAGTTTTAATTGCAATAGTAATTTGGTATGAAATATTATTTGCAATTAATTTAGTAAGCAAGCTATTACAATCAAAGGATATGCTTATTGATGTGGCTATTAAAAAAATAAGAGTGTTGATTTCTTTTTTTGAGGGGTATAGAGAAACTGGTTTTTATGATGCTTTGAGTAAAGCTAAGGAAATTGCTATTGAAATGGATATTGATCCTATATTTTCCCAAAAGCGTGAAATTAAAAGAAAAAAACATTTTGATGAGAATCCAAGCACTTCATCAAATGCTCCTCTATCTCTAGAAGAATCATTTAGAGTTGATTACTTTCTTTATATTGTTGATCAAGCTATTAGTTCTCTTTATAAAAGATTTGAGCAATTTGAGGAATATGAAAATATTTTTGGTTTCTTATTCACTCCTCAAAGGATGAAGTCATTGGATGATTTAAGTTTGAAATCCTCTTGTTTGAATTTTGAAAATGCACTTATGTCTAATGAAAAATCAGATATTGATGGGAATGAATTATTTGTGGAGTTGAAGTTGCTTAAAGAAATTTTGCACAATGACATAAAAGGACCTTTTGATATTTTGATATTTTTGAATGATGTGGGTTGTTTTCCTAATGCTACTATTGCATATAGAATTTTGTTGACTATTACTGTGACAGTTGCAACTGCAGAAAGGAGTTTTTCAAAGTTAAAGCTATTGAAGTCATATCTTCGTTCTACGATGCTACAATAAAGACTTAATGGATTGGCGATGATAGCAATTGAGAATGATCTTCTAGAGAAAGTGGAATATGAAGACTTGATTGATGATTTTGCCTCAAAGAGTGTTAGAAGAATATCACTTTTCAAATAAATAGAAGTTAATATAGCTTAAGTTGATATGAGCCTTGAGTTGTATTTAGTTACTATTATCAACATGAATAAAATATCCGAATTTAATTTTGCGTGATTGAATATGTCATTGTTATATGAAAGCATTTTTATTTTGAAATGTATATATAGGAAAATTGTGCATTGCCAAAATTATAGATTAAAAAAAATGTATAATTTTAACATTATTAAGGGCCCCTTTTTCGATTTAGAACAGGGCCCCCAAAATCAATGCTACAGCCATGGTTATGACCGAACATAACCCGTAAGTCCGTAACCCGCTATGAGAGAAAATTGTGAGTGAAAAAGTGTTTTGCCTAAAGTGATATGGGTGAGTGTTAGGAATGAGATATGAAGATTTTAAGGTTTAAAAATGGCTTGGGCAGATTTTGATTAGTTTTTACCAATGAAAATTATAGCTTAATAGTTAATAATTAATAGTCGTATTTTTATTTATAAACTACTTGTAATAAAGAAATTATAACTAATTAAGTAATTTCTATTTATTAGTGACTTGCTAGTTAAAATACAACTGTTGGGTTTCGTGATGTCCAACACCACGCGGAACTAAAACCCGACCCCAAGATCCGCACATAAATAAATGCAACTAAAACATGCATATTAATTAACAACATAATTAATTAACAATAAAAGGGAAAGACGGAATTACCCTTAACGCGTGCTTCGCTCTTTCTTAGAGCTCAGGCTAGCTTGAAAGCTTCGAACCCCGCAAATGCGCAAGCCTCCAATGTCTCACACCCTTGACACCAAACCCGAACGACCCCTACCCTGAAGCTTAGTCGGGCTAGACCAAGAAAGACTAGAGTATTACGAAATTAAAGGTTTTCTCACCTATTAGGAGATGGCTTATTGAGTTCAACTCAAGTCAATAATCCCAACGCCTAAGGTTGGTATTTAAAGGCAAAGGTTCCCAAAAATTTCAATCAACTTTCCGTGTGAGAGAAATGATAGAGTGAGAAAAGTAAGCAATTAATTTAATAGATTAAATTAAAAGCCATGAAACAATAATCAAATGACAAGTGTCATCACATAAGGAAGGAGTAGGTAAGGACCACAAACCTATCCTTGGAGGGTAAGCATAAACCTACCAACCCCATGTGCATGGCACACTTGGTCAACATAAAGAAGACCAACCTCAACCCTTGGGCTTGGAGAGCAAGGCAAGGACTTCCCACATGTACCCGGTCAACACGTACAGTTGTCGGCCTTGGGTAGCAAGGCCATCTTCGCCGCCAGCCTTGCACCACAAGGCTAGGCTGGTCGTCCCTTTGTCGCAAGCCCATGCTTGCTGCCACAGGCCTATGCGCCTACCCCAAGCAGCAACAGCAGCATAGGCCTAGCAACAACAACAACAGTAGCCTCGCATGCTTGCTGGCCTTTGTTGGGCAAGCCCGGCTGGGGGGAGCTGTGGTGCGTAGCCCACACAGCTCCCCTAGCCAGCCTCACACTCCACGGCAAGCCTAGTCCTTGTGAGGGGTGCGATCCCTTGTTGCTTGCAGCCGCTTAGCCGCTTGCCTTCGATCCAAGGCGTGGCTAGGGGTCGTGCTATTCTTGTAATTTTAGCACGATTCGTCATTTGATTATTTTTCTGTCTTCATAGATTTCTAAAATCGACTCGACTTACGACGCTCGGTTTTGACGCTTTAAGCTCAGACGTCTTTGTTCATAAAACACTATTGACTTATATAATACTTCATATTAATTCGTCGTCGCGGATTGGTTACTCGATTGGGTGTGACCCAAAGGGTTCGGTCAAGATTAGGATGTAATATTAATTATGCATCAATATTACTAATCGAAAGCGGCCTCCCGCTAGGTATTTCCATCACTTGACCTCACTGAATAACTAGCTTTCTAATAATTTCGAACCCTCTATCCGAAAAAGACACTTGTTCGAAGGACACCATTCCTTTTAACAACTAATAAAATGATAATTATTACAATATCGTGTTAATGACCCGACCAATTACAAGTTTACAACTCGACTCGTTCTAATTCATTATTTGATCAATGTTACTTGTTTAAGTCTTTATATTTATGACATGAACCGATTTTACCCGATTTGTTTTGAACCAAACCCGTTTTAAAAATCGATCGAGCTCTATCTGAATCGATTATGATTTGAAATGATTACAACCCAACCCAATCAGGATCCGGTCTATTTTAACCCAAACAAATTATAAACTGGCAAAACCCATTTTCAAACCGACCGAATTCAACTCGAACCGATTATGACCTAAACTGATTACAACTCGACCCGATTAGGACCCGATATGTTTTGACCCAAAACCCGCCTTAAACTAATAACTTGTTTTTAAACCGACCAAGTTCAAACCAAACCGATTATGACCCGAACCAATTACAACCCAACCCGATCAAAATCTGACCCGAAAAGAAACCGTAATAAAAAAAAATACCTAACTGAACCGACCCAAAATTATTTAAAACCGACCCGAACTGACCCGATAATAATTCCAACCCATTACAAACTGAAAACCGATAAATCGAATCGTAAAATCGATTGACACATATTAGTAAAATGTTCCAAGATATTTTGCATTACAGGGTTTATGAGCATAACTAATCCCCAAAATCGAAAGACATCATCACTCAATATATGGTTCCACTAAACCTTCTGAGGATCAGCAATGCCACTATAACACCTAGCCAAAACAATAGAAATTGTAGTAGGAACATAAGTATAAGAACCCACAATAACAGCAAACAGATCTAGCCCTTCGTAGTACACCTGATAGTTTTAGGAGTAAAGAATAGAAGTATATATTTTTGTGTATTTTTGGAGTAAAGAATAGAAGTATATATTTCTGTGTATCATTATGAAATGGAGGAAACTTTAATTTATAGTGGAGCACTAACACAAAGAAAGAAGTCATTTACGGCAACCATGCACGCCCAAGTCAAGGAAATTAAATCCCTTCAATTGAGTGATCAGAAGCGATCAAGTATTATGTACTTAGCCTCAATTATGCACGGTCAGGCTTAAAAATGTGTACAAAGTATTTATGACCATAAAGTCAACTAATTGATATTTGCGATTTGGTTATTGATCTTTTGAAGCAAAATCGTACTTACACTTGGAGTTTTACTATGGGGAATAAATAACTCCAACAATAAATTCCAGCAATTATTCCAATTATAAAGCAAATCAGCAACAGCATAACCAAATAGGTAGGAATGAGTTTCATTATTGTCCAATGGATCTCTAAGCCCATCAAGAAACGCTGAAATCCAAGTAAAATAGCCTCAGCTGCAGAGTTAAACACATTAACAATAAACTATAATCAGCTTCAACATTTATAACCACAAAAGGAAAATTCTCAATGGTAGCCCTCTGTTTTTGCTTATTTCAATGATAGTCAACAGCGGGCTATCATTGAGAATTTAACATGTCCACAAGTTGCAAGTAACAACAATCCATACACCAAAACCAAGTTAACGTGTTGAGTGGTCACAATCAAAAGTAAAAATAAACCCCACAATTTATAAATTTCCAAAATTTAAAAGACAAGAGATCTTCACAATTGATTGACTGCAAAAACAAATTGCATCTTCAAGTCTTCACGCTAACATGTGAAGTGTCTTCATTTCACCATACATGTGTTTATCTCTAGTATCAATATTTCAAATTTCTATTTAATAGTTGATTCAAAGAATAAACTTATACGGTTATGACTTCTTCTGGAAGTCGTTGATAATAAATATTGATGATCATTATTTGATCAAACATTCATTAATACGAGTAATAATTTGATGACAAAACTTAGCTTGATATTATTAATATCATTCTTCTCATATGAATTATAATATAACACACATAATTATATACGCTAATTATGGTTCTTCTGAACCATAAGAAAACATTGTCAAGCATAAGTGATCCATTGATATTCTTTAGACGTTTCATAATTGACACGATAGCTCTCTTGCAAATACAAATAGTTAATTTCATTAACTCTCATATACTCAAACTTCAGGTTGAGATGTTAATAATGTTATCACGTACATAGATTTTCAAGAGTTTGATAATAATTGCAAATTCAAGATATAAACTTTGTAGGGCTGGATATTACAATAGGTCGTATATAAGTTCTTCAGGAACTCTTCTTAATTCATAATGTGCAATTAAATCAGTGTCATCAATAATTTCATCACAATTATAAGCCCATTGAAATATTAATCTCTTTCTAATTTTTCATCAAAGTTGTAAACATACCTTACTAAACGTTGAATGAACATTTACATACACCACAGTTATTGTATGAAATTAATGCATCCAATATGAGATATAGAAAATATGATAACATATTAACAAATATACAATAAAGTAATGCATCTAACGACTTCCTATATATGCAATAAATATCCATTAACTTATAACTCACACATGCACTTTAAAATAAGATTCAAAATGATGCAAGACACTGTACAGTGTGGATTTAAAAATCTATATTTCATTAGACTTCGGGTCCATGATAAACTTATTATCATTATCATTATGTCGACATCAAAATGTACATATATTTCAGATCCCTTACTCATTAGTCCATTCCATTATGCATATGCATATTATTCATCGGTTCCATTATGTACCTGTATTAAAAAAATTCCTTTAACTTACATTCCGCATGCTATTTTACTATGATATCTGAATACATTTTGTCATTGGTACCATCATAACTTTTCTTACATCATAGGCCATCTATTATAATAATTCAGATATCTATACCACTTTTAGGGTATTCCATACACTATGGTAATTATAAACTATTACACTATTAGTGTCAACTGCACTATCTTGCCAAATATCATATCTATTAAACAAATCTTTATTTTGGAACCGGTCATATACAACCTACACTTCAGGTGTAGTGATTCAAGTACAATTGACAAAATTTTATCTCAATGTATAAACATAATTAATATGACCAAAATGTATCTTCAACGCTATGCAACATGAGTCATAACTGAAAACAAATCAAATCATAAATATGCAACATATCTTGATAATATATATACAAAAGTTGGCATATATATAAGTTTTCAAATTACCATTATAGGGATCATAAATATTCTTTATTTATTTAATATTTTTTTTCGATTTTTCCAACTTTTGCTATTTCTTCTCCCCAAAAGTTGGTAAAATATCTCTTTTATAGGGGCGTCTAATTCTATACCAACTTAGTATATAAATTTGCATTAAAATTCATTTCATTGGGAGGATCACAATCAAAATTTATCTCTTCTGGAGAACAATTTCGATAAAGAATCATTTATTCATTAACTTTATATTTCATGTGTATTTATTATTAAATTTTCAATAATATTTACTCTTCTGGAGATCAATGTCAATGGGGAGGCATATGTTGTGCAGTTGTAAGTTTTTCTTTCTTCTCCTATTTCATATGTGCTGACATATAATAGCCCCAATCAAAAGAATTGTTATACAAACATAGATCACTTGCTTGTAATTCTACTAGGTGGTGATCTTCTGGATCTTTAAAGCTTTAAATAATGTATTTGGTGAGCTTCTGGTTATCTGATAGTTTATAATAATATATACGTTATTTTGGTGAACTTCTGGTCACCCATTAATCCTTTTTATAACCTATTAACTCTTGAAATTTTCATCAATACAAATTAGTACGAATCACAATCCAAATATATATAACTCAATCTCAATGTTATGTCTTGCCATTCAATTCATTTCATACATTTAACATTGAGGGAGCGTCGGCACAGTATCAAATGAAACTTCAGGTTTCCATAACGGTAATTATTAAACCCGGATGGCCTGATTTAATTATCACATCCAATCACTTCTCTAACTTTGAGCTCTGATCAGTTTTCCAACACTAGTGATCACTTTATTAAACTTAATTAATGCATGGCCATGAATATGATGTGATATTATAACACCAACATGTGTTTCTTTATACAATTGGCAAGACAATCAATTAATATTTTATCCAATAATTACTCATACTCTACTGGAGTTTAAATTATAAACTTGATACATTTTTATCTTGTTGGATATTTCATACTCTTCTGGAGTCTTTTATAAAATCATGGAACATAAATATTTTACTAAAAGTTATTTCTTCTAGAAATATAATGTAGTTTATCACTTCCTCAAAATCGTCATTGTCAATGGCGGCTCCTTTCCTTTTCGAAGATACTTAATTATCTTTAGATTCTATTGATCTATCACACTTCAGACACGCTATAGGTTCATAATCAATTAGTATTGTCCATCTGGGACATCAATTTTAATTGGAGCATTTATAATTAGTGTATGATCAATGACATTTATTTATATCCATCTTCAGGATGGTATCATTTTAAAATATTTAATTAACATGTGGCCACTTCTATTTAATAAATCATTGATTTTTAAGTTAAAGTATATATTAAACTGACCATCAATATATTTTATTATTTATGTGCAAGGATTACATAAAATAATGGAATGAATACAATCTCCCCCTAATCCTTGCATATGGGGAATAAAATGAATCCAACATTAAATCTCATCCAAATTTTAAGGCATAAATCATTTTAGTAATGCATGTATCAAGCATAATTACTCTTAACTCTTGCCAATTATATTAATCTCTTATAAGTATGGGCATAATAAATTTTGTAAGTAAGTTGCTTAAAATGTCATGATTAATTTCTTGAACTCATAACACTATATCTTGTTCCAATAAATATTCTTCTGAATTTTTTTTTTCATGAATAATATAATTAATTAAATGAACATCATGCAAACATGCTTATTAGTTTTCTTTCAATCGTGCAATTTCTCATTCACTTCTGGGAATGAGCTAGTGAGTCTAGTTAGCTATCATTCAATTTAAAAGAACAAAATGTGAAACTTCAAGTCCCAAAAATGGGGATGCAAATGAGTATTAGCTTGAAAGTTGATCATTTCATAGAAATTATATGTGGGATCTCATATTATCATCACTTATGATAATTTATCAATCAACTCCTTTTCCATCTAATCAACAAATAAATGAATAAAATAATATAAGATGGAATATGATTAACATAACTCGAGGTTAACTAGAAAATATCCATATATAGTTAATTAAGTATATGACATCATGCATTCAAATATTAAAAATAATTCTATCTATCATCAAAGAGCTAAATCATACTCATGAATTATATATATATATATATATATATATATATATATATATATATATATATATATATATATATATATATATATATATATATATATATATATATATATATTTATGCAAATATTCATATGGTCAATGAGATTATTTCCTCACCCACAAAAAAGTAATTCCATTCATACAGTACAAGCAATAGATCATCTTTAAAGACTTCATTGCATTTCCATGAAAATTTAGTCCACAAAGTTTAATCCATACTCATCAAATTAAAGTCACTTAATTCAATCAAAGTTAAGCTCTTTTAACAAATCGCTAGATAGACTTATAACCAATAAGTATTCTCCATAACAGATCAAAACTAGTGTGATTCTCTTTAATAGTGAACTTAATATACCAATATACCAAACGTATGTCATCTAGCATACGGAGTATACGGTCTAAACATGCCATCGAAAAAAAAAAAAACTATAAATGAGGACTTATTAATTTGGAAATCACTTAGATAGATATATTTATCATAAAATATCATAAGTAATTGATACTCTTAGGATAAAGCTAATCAAGTGTTAGCAAAGGTGTTTATCATATACAAAATAATCTATAAGTATTTGTATACATCTATTTTACTAATTTAGTTAGTATAGTATTTTCCTTAGTGTTAGCAAACGTTCAGCTATTTTAGTGAGTCAAAGATAGCTGTCAAACATTATCTTTTAGTTATCTAATTTGAAGCTCAACTTTTAGCTTGTAATTTGTACATATATTATCTGATTAGCAATATAACACTCACGGAATAAATCAATTTTTTTCATGGTATAAATACGGTTACGATTCTAAAATCAGCAAATGAAATTATAATATAGATATATTAAAATGACATAATTTATTTACTATACCTTACATTAACCAAATACGGAATAAACAATATGAAGCAACCAAACTTATTCAAGATAAAACTAGGATTAATCTCAAAGTCAATTAAAACTACGAAAATTATTAATCCGACCAACTTTGCAAATAAATCTATAATTGGTACTGTAATACGGAGTACAAGGTAAATCAACGGATATGGAAAATCAATCATCATCATATATGTGATAAAAACACTCATCACCACTTAGTTAAATTGCATATAGATATGTTACGCTGCCACTACCATCAAATTACCTTTTGATATGTCAAATTATCACATTATACAAGCGTAAAATAAATAAATTAATACTTGCTTATTGAACAATTAATATTAATCACTGAAGGTAAAAAGTTAAAAAGAATTGGATCTCATAATACATATAAATAACTATTAAACAAAATTGCAGAAATAAGACTTTGGAACTATACTTTGCATCCTAAACTATATTAAGAAAATACAATATCAATCATGCATGTTACTAGATAATTAACCAAATCGTAATATAGTTTTGTGGTAAAGTTGCTAGTTGATTATGCCATGTTAATGAGTGGTAGATATATTAGAAAATTGAAAGCAGAAGAAACAAACTAATCTATTGTGCAAATGATCAATTGTACTCACGTTACTCAAGAAATTTTATAACATAATCAAAATAGGGGTGACTACATACCTGATCACGGATAAATTATATATGCGTCGTAATTCAGTCTATATTATTCCATAGAGAGGAGATATATATATACATACAATATAAGCTTAGATAACAATATACCCTAGTTCAAGAACATTCCGAAATGATAAAGGAGGATAATGCCATACAATATTTCATAACACTTATCAATTTATCATATTAAATTTCAATCCCTACAGACTAATGTGCTGAATACAAATCCTGTAAAATTAACAGTTAACAGGCAAACTACAGCGTCTTATTCTTATCATAAATCAATAATAAGCATAATGGCAAGTACATAAAAATCAAGATACAATTTATAGGCAACAGAATTTAGTGATATTTTGGTGTAAAATTTATCAGAGGTAAAATCATAAAAATAAGTGAAAATATCTAAAAGATCTCAGAGAATCTAAGACAATAATCTTATTCTTTAACCCAAGAATCTCTATGTATAAAGATCAGTTCTAAGATTTCAATAGGCTCTAATGGAATCAGTCACAAAGAGCCCTTTTCATGCATAACAGGTAATAAAAACATTTTTTCCAAACATTTTTTCCCTCTTTAATTGTATTGCAAGTTTGAATTTTTCTAGCTTACACTATTGGAAAATAATTTTTATATAAGGTGAGATCTATGATTTACTCAAACAAATATATGCCTCTAAACTAGATTTCAATTAATACTTCGAAGTGACCAACTAAGATTCTTTCTAAACTTAAGAGTGCAAACTTAGCAAAGTTTCATGATTCTATCAACACCAAGTACCTTTTCTAAAACGCTTCGACCACCTTTTCGACCGCCTCGTCCACCACCTCTGCGACGACCTACACACACCCCATTTCGCATTTAACAAACAAAACAGAAACCCAAATCATAATTGAAAACATTCATAATTACACCTTCAATTTTAAAATTAATTCATACATTGAAACACGTATCAACTTAGAATTCGCATAAACACACTTGCTTTTTTAACTTGAATTCATACATTACCTGACATCGTACTTCACAGTAAACCCTAACGAGGGAAATTTGGGGCAAATGCAACAAGCTTGTTCCCAAACAAAAGAAAGAGGCGAGAACAGGAGAGAGAAAAGAGGAAATTCACCAAGTTATTCAAGTGAGAACAAGAGGTAAACAGGAAGAGAGAACAGAGGAGAAGAGAGGGAACCCAAGAAATAACCGAAGGAAAAAAAAAAGGGGTCGGGTGGGGGTGCTCATTAAACATCACGTGCAAGTCACGTGTTAAGGTCAACGTCGAAAATATGAGTCAAGTGACGTTTCACAAGAGTAATTTTTTTTTTTACGGGTTCACAAGAGTAATTTTATTTGGTTGGTCTTACCCAAGAATGTTTTTTATTTTAAAACCTCTCATACAAGAATATTTATTTTGGGTGATTTTTTACAGAAAAAAAAAACACAAAAAGACCAAAAAAAAAAAAAAAAAAAAAAAAACCACAAACTTCATATGTGACGGGTTAAAAGATTTATTTCAAACTTACGTTGTTGGTTATTAAGTTCAACCCCAAATTAACCAACTTATACAATTAAAATTATAAACAACAAAAAAAAAAAAAGATGTTACATATGAGCTAGTGAAGAAACAACGATGATGTATATAATATGAGCATCCAAATTTTATCTCTTGAAAGGGTTAACATTTATCATTACTAACATCATCAACATTTTTAATAAAGAAACAAACCATTTTAGTTTTTTTAATAGGAAAATTAAAAAACGGGTCCACGGATCTGGTTCCGGGTCTAGGGCCCAGACCCAGATCCAGATCCATTTTTGTCAGCAGGACCCGGATCCGTTGAGTCCAAAATTTGAAGACCCAGTACCGTGAAAAACGGATCTGGATCCACGAATCCGGGTCGGGTCCAGATCCATTGCCATCCCTACAATTATTATGGGGATTGCTTTATTAGTGTCATAGGGGTGACTCACTCAGTTATGGGTTAATGGGTCGGTCATGGGTTACTAGGTTGTTCAGGGGTTATTAAATCGTTCAGGGGTTACTTGGTTGGTTAGGGGGTCACTCGATTGGTCAGCGGTTACTTGGTCAGAGGTTATTCGTTGGTTAAGGGTTACTTGGTGTGTCAGCTAGTCACACGATGTGGCTAGTCGCACACAAAAGTTAAAGGTGGCACTCCCTCCGTTTTTAAAAACTTGATGATTTTGCTCCATTTTTCCATGTGCATTTTTTTTTTATTTTTTTTTGAAGAAATCCCGATCTTCCCATTAACATTTATGAAATTAACTAATTTAGAGGGTCTAAGTGTAGGATGACTATTTACTCACAAATGTTTGTTGACTTGAATAGAGTTAAGGTAACAATTAGGGATTAAACTTTTTTACTTTTCATCTTTTAGGACACGAACTTTTTTCTTTCATTGTTTAGGACCTATGGTTAATTCTCAAGCAATTTAACCCATATAAAAGGCTTATTAACCAACATATGCATTAATTTTTTTTTTTTTTTTTAAATATGGTTATTCCAAAGCAAAAAAAAAAAAAAATTGTCATTTATATCCGTTAAATCAAATTTTACATTATAACAAATCATCAGAGTTACAACTTACAAAATCCATTGAATTACTCCCTCCGTTTTTAAATACTTGCTCCATTTCTCTTGGACACGCATGTTGATGTTAATCTTTGATCACTAATATCTTTAATTACCAATAAATATAAATTCTAACAATTGAAAATTAATAATCTATTCATTGAGATGATTCCAACAAGTACCCACAAGACTATATTTTCTCTTATGTATAAATCACAAACATTAGTCAAAGTAAGATAAATGAATAGTAAAAAAATAGAAATGGAGCAAATATTTAAAAACGAAGGGAGTTCATGAATTATATAATTGTTCTGTTAGTTCAATATAGATCAACGTAACTAATTTTGCTAGAATAAGTAGTTAATTTGATCATTTGAACTATGTCATCAAAATTCCAAATTCCACAATTAAGCATTAAATTATGTGAACCTTTCCTTTCATCCGGATAAACTAGCTGACAAACTTTATACTTGTTTGGTAATTCTACTAGTATTGTGTCATCTAGCAAAATGAGAATTGTAATCTTGCACAGCATAAATTGATAGGACTTTTTTTTAAGAATTGATTGGCCTTTAGTTACCATCAAGCAACTGAATTGTGGAAAAATAAAGAATATGGAAATGGGTAGATATGGTTTAAATGCAATTTTACACCGGCTCGGAAACAATTGTATAAATATAATAATTCTGAATTGACCCCAAATTGGAATTCGAAATTCTAAAATACAAGAACAAACAAATAAATTCAACAATATAACAACACTAAGTATCAATTTCAACATCATAATTAATGAATACCTATACTTTTTTTTTTTTTTTTGGAAGAGAGAACAAACAGAGGAGGTTGAAAATGAAGACTAAAGAGCAGGAGTTGAAAAGGCACGGTATTTTTATGTAAACACCAAACTTTTTTTTTTTTTTTTTGAGAAAACCAATAAAAATCCTCTTTTGCAAATAAATTAGAACCTAAAATAATTAGTGGGCCCTACCATTTACTCACAGTTAATTTTTTTAACTAACATTCTTTCTTAGGTCCCAAAAAATGAAAAGTAAAAAAGTTTAATCCCTAATTGTTAGCTTAACTCGACTAGAATAGTACGAAGTACATTAATAAGGTGCGGCGTGCGCACATGTATGTTGCAAATGATATTTATTATGAGCCTAATTAATTTCAATCACTTCGTTAACCTTATGATTAATTTTCTATATCAAATATAATTTTACGAGTACGTATTAAATAAAATTAAAAATTATTTGATTCCCATGTGTAAGGTTCTAGATTTAATTCTTGAATAGAATATTAGTACTAGAGATGATTAAATTTAAGGAAAATTTTGTAGAAAAAATCTTTTAAAAGCGTCATTTTACCAACAAAAAAAACACCTCGTTCTTTGTATGTTTGGTAAGAAAAAACATGTTTAGAAAGCTTCAACATCTTTTTTTTTTTTCAGTGCGTTTCTGGTGCGGCAGGGTGCCCTATCAGTAACCCCTAAAGTAACACCCTAAGTAACCCCACTTAAGTAACTCGTCTAGTAACCCCCCAAGTAACCCCACTTAAGTAGCCCCTGATCGGACCTAGTAACCCCTAAACAAGTAAGTAACACCACCTCAAAGCCTTAAACTCCACCACACCACCACCACCACCACCTCTCGTACTCACTACCCCACGCCACCTGCCCCAACGCCACCAGCAACCACGCGCAGCAACCATGCTGCCACCAACTCCGATCCCCAAAACCACCCTAACCACCAACAACCACCAACCATGCCCATCAACCTTCACCACCAACCACCAGCAACCCACACCAACCACGCCAAGCAACCCACAAAACCAACCACCAGCAACCCCCACCAACCACGCCCACCAACCCACACCAACTCCGATCCCAAAACCCACCCTAACCACCAGCAACTCCGATCCCAAAACCACCCACACCAACCACGCCCAGCAACACACACCACGCCCAACAACCCACCACCTCTCGTACCCGCTACCACAAACAAACCCAAATCCAACCAAAACACAACCAAACCGAAAAAACAAAAACAATTAAATCTAACAAATACAATGGCTTCAAATTTCACTTCGAATAGGCTTAAATGGCCAAATTCGACTATGAAAACACTAGATCTAGAGTTTTCATGGATGAATATGGCCTTAAAATGTCTAAATTGTTTTTCCGGCGATGGAGTACGAGGAGCTTCACGACAACCACAAGCTAGGTTGGATCTTCAAGGAAGTCGACGATGATCTAGGTTGGAGAAGGAAGTCGAAAACGATCGTTGGAGCAGGAAGTCGGTGCTTCAAGAATGAGAAAATGGAGGAGAGGAGATAGAAGAGAGGAGAGAGAGAAGTGAGAGAGAAAAAAAATTGTGGTTGGTCGTAAGGTGATGCCAGCCGCATATAAAACTTTATGTGTGTTTTTCTTTTTTTTTTCTTTTTGTTTTTGGAAAATAAAAACCACCTCCCGGTGCAACCTCTTTTGAAATTGAATTGCCTTATTTTGCCTCCAAACTGGTTTGTTCATTTTCTTAAGCCTTTGATTGAATCCATCCCATTTCTCCTTACTTTCATCGTCAAACCAAAGACCCTTAATAGAATTTTAAGGTTCGATTACCTTGACCAATGGGTCAAAGTAAAGTAAAAAAAAAGTCAATAATTTAAAATTTGGGTGTAACACACATATAAAGTACATCTTGTTTCAGATAAAGAACATTATTAAAGCATATAAAAGAAAATAACAAGAAATACACATGACAGTTTATTAAGATGACTGTTATAATCTAATATATACAACTAAAGTAGGCATTTTTGGAGAGCATTTGGAGCGCCACATAAGAAAAGGTATTATTTTGACAAATGAAAAATTAGGTTAATAATTTATTTTAGGATTAAAAAATTCACTCGCCACCTACGAAAAAAGTGACGAATAAGATTTAAGAATTTTGCCACATATGTAAAAATAACGAATAGTAAATTATTAAAATTTAAACTTTGTAAGAAAAACTAATAATTATCTTTTTTACACATATATATGCAAATCTTTGATCGCAACTATCTTTAATCTCTCCCTAGCTAATATTATAAAGATTACATATTAATTATGTACTCATCGAAACGAATAAAACTAAATCTCATATGACTATGTTAGATAGAAATTTAGAAGATTCCCCCTAATTTTTAATAATTAAAAGATTTTAAGTGATACTAACATTTTAAAACAAAACGGGTATATAAAAAAAAGCATAAGCAAAGGATTTATTTTAACCAATAAAAAAAAGATTTTTCATTTATTTTTGAATAAAAAATTTAAATTGTCACCTAAGCAAAATTAATGAATAAGGATTGGGGTTTTTAATTCAAGCGCCACATTAAATATATAAAATAACGACATATAATGTTAAAATTAAAAAAATTATCTTATGATATTAGGAATTTTATTCAAATTTATATTTCATGAATGATCTTCATAAATATACAATATGTTATACTGTATTTAATAAAATAATTTATTAGAACCGTGCATCGCACGGGTTTATATCTAGTTATATATAAAATAAAAAAAAACCGGTGAAATAATATGATTGAAATAAAATGTTTTGAAAACTAAGTTTTTTTAAATGATAATTAAAATTTTGATATTTGAAAATGAAATCATGAGTTATTTGTGAGAGAAATTATTTTTGAAAGAAAAATATTATGCAAACTGATTATCATACACGGTTTTTCCTAAATAATAATATGTTCTTTACAATTTTTGGAAAGTTTTTCTGCTAATTTTTTCCAGTACAATTTTTTCACAAATTTTATTATATGTGGCCGGCCATACAGTGTGACAAGAGTTACTCGATCGGTCATGGATTACTCGATCAGTGAGAACTTGTTCGGTATTTAGTGTGGGTCAGCTTGCCGTATAATGTGGTTGGTCAAACTGAGTTTTACTCGGTCAAGAAAGTATTCGGTCGATTAAGGGTTACCCAATCAGTGTTTTGATATATGTCATCTTGTTGCACGTTG